GCCGAGTGTCTTAGAAATGACATCAGCCTGAAGTTGCTTGAAGTTTTTCATCTCACCCTGTATATAATGAAAACACTACCCATGTGAATTTCATACATATAAAAACCCTAAGGTCTTCCTATGTACGGAAGACATGGGGTTTCATTTTTGTGTAGATGATAATTTGCCCATTTTTTATTCAAAGACCATTAGATCTCCAAATGTGTATCGGAAAATAACGTCTTCATATTTAAATATGTAAACTTGATCTGTATGACACGGATTTATTTTATAAGTAGACACCTCTTCATCCATAACCTCACCTCGATTTCCACATCTGAGTCTCGCACTGGTTCCAGGCATTCAGTCTGTAAAATTTAGAATAAACATAGCCAACTGGTTTTTCTGTTATAAAACAATTTATTACAAAAGACACTGGACATAAATATTTTAAAAATTTAGGAACCAAACAAACAATAAAAACAAATAATATTTCTACAACACATTAGCATATCCTTAATTGTAAAAAAAAAAAATTAACTAGCGTTTATACAATGAGATTTTTTTTGGGTAAACTAAAGATCTTACACTGGTGGTCAATATTTCAATAACATTTACTTAGTTCTTTACATGTTTTATTTGTTTAAAAGTATTGCACAAATGTATTTTTGCAAATTTGAATAAATGAAATTTGGAAAGATGTTTCAAAACCATTTCTAAAACATACGAATACGTTTTTAACATTACTATGAGATGTTTCTTGGGGTACACAAATTAATATATTTATAACTTTCCAGAATTCGGTTATAACGAAGACACTTTGCTAGTTTTTGAATTTTGCCTTATTTCTCTTTTGAGACGAGCTTAAGGATCTGAAACTTGCAGTGAACAGTAAGCCAGAGAAACAATATAATATTTCGTTGTTATGAAATATGAAAATTTCAACTTATGGTATTTCAACCCCTGGAAGAGAATTGTCTATATAGGGTTATGATATCCTACATCCTCCATGTAACGGTACCCCCGATATTCAGTATTTTGATGATTTAATACACAATTTTAATGGCCGGATTTTTTTGCTGGAATTGTTTCAAATTTCGTATTTGAAGTTCCTAAGGCAATGTATATGCAGGACCACGCCTGTGTATCGCCCACATATAACGGTTTCCCTTTGAGCGGTATTTTCCGAAGGAATTTTTTGCAAAATTTTCGAGTGACTTCAAAATGGTGCTAAAAGTTCAGCCCGGACGAACTTAGCTGTTTTTTACTTGTTAGTACTCAAAATTGATAATTTGTTCAGTTTGACAAAATTTTTAATCAAAACTTTAAAACGTTGTACTAAATTTTTAAATTTAGAGGTTTTATATTTTTTATTTAAGTATTTTTCGAAGAGCATAATAGAAATATGTTTACCATTTGCAACAAACAATCTTCAAAATCTTTAATTTTCAAGTTTTTCACAAGGGATTTTAGTGAAGCCATTGTACAATGAACTCACATCCAATTTTTCTGTCCAAAACAATTTCAACGTCTCCATATGTAAACCCTAGAAGCCAAAAATGACCTCAGCTCTTTTCCTTCACCATTACTAAATTTGGTACTATTAAGTAATTTTAGTACAATTAAAGTTCACATTTGGGATTCCAGCTCTATCCCTGCACCGAATAGCCAATTTTGCACCACTTAGTACTTTTCGAACAATTATAGGACACATTCAATTCCAGATACTAACAGGGACTTCAATAACAAATTTCGAACAATTTTAGTAGACATTTTCGAAACTACCTCCATATGTCAATCCCAGTTACCAACAGAGACCTCAATATTAAATTTGAAAATTTATCCCTATACCCCAATACACAGCAAACTGAATAATCTGAAGCACAGAACGAAAATATTATAAGTTTACATTCATAAACTTAGCCATTAATGTTTCCGTTATAACCATATTTGGAACTGATATTTATAATAAAGTAACGCTATACAATTTTACATGTTAAATAAAATAATCATATTCTAATACATATCACATATTTAAAAAACACCAGTTTATGTATTATGTTAAATTAAATATTAAGGTGGACTTATTTGTCGTTTACATATTTTTGTCGATAATTCTACAGATAGCGAGCAATTGCCATTTAAAATACACATATATGTGCCTTGTAACTAAAATAAATATTCATGTATGTATAAATGGATATTTCACAGGGCAGAGATTAAGGAAGATTCACTGGGTCATTATTTTTTGTTACAGCTCAAAATAATAGAATTTGATATAAATCTAAACTACTCATATTATAGTGGTTTAGGTTTTAGTGTATATTTCAGTTTAAATTTTTAATTTTCTTCAAGGTTTGGACAAACGTGGATTTCTTTTAAAAATGTTGTTTTGAAACTTCAATCCATTTTTTAATATATTGCAATGATTAAGGTCAGAGGCAAGACTTTATTTACACCAACTTGGATTTCTTTTTAAATATTATTTTGAAAATTAAATCCTTTTTTTAATAGATTGCAATAATCGAGGCCAATGAAAATTTAATGTTTACAATAATGTTGATTCTTTACATATTCAAGATTTTAAAATTTTTCAATCAAATGTGAATTTTGTAAACAATATTTTTTTCAAATCTAACCCAACGTAGATGTTTGTAAAATATATCTCAAAAATGTTGTGTAAAGCTGCTTTTTTTAATTTAACTCAACGTAAATTTTCTAAAATTTGTTGAAAAATTTAAATTAAAAATTTAATCCATCGAGTTTTCTAAATTTTTTGTAAAAACTGAATTTAAAATGAATTTTTGTTTATTTTTTAATATTTAACAAAATGCGAATCTCTTCAATATTTTTTTAAAATTTAAATTTATAAATTTTTTTTTTGAATATGTCTTTTGCAATTGCATCGCAACGCTTTTTTTTAGATAAAGGGTGATTTTTTAGCCAATATCTTTTATTGGCAACACTGGTTGTTGTAACAGTTATACAAGTTGTGTTTGGGTTCTGCTAATCTGGTTCTAACTTCAGGCTCAAATCGACTGTAACCAGAGGTTTTCTGGAGTGAGTGTGAGGTAGGTTTCCCGGGCAATTGAAAAATCGCCCGTTTTGTGTTTTGTTTTGCTGTGAAACATCTTCTGTAACACTGTACAACACAAAACATAATTACGGGGGAAATCGATCAAAAAAGTCAACAGAGTTTTCATCGCAAAGTAACATAAATAGAAGGAGCAAGTTCCCCCTCTTCTACATTTTTTTAAATTTTTGGACTAAGATTCCTTGGAATCCTTATATGTTAGGTACATGGGGTCTTCGGTAATATTGCAGATAAAAATACGAGGAATATTTTGGTTAAAAATTGTAACCCTCATTAGAGCCAGCAAAGGTGTAATTTTTTCAAAATGTGGCTGAAAATTCCATTTTAACGGGACAGTAGGAAATCAAAATATTATACAATGTTATTCGTCATAAAATTCTACTAAGGGTCCTGAAAGACATCAAGTGTCTAAATTTTTAAATTCACATATATATGAAAAAAAAAACATATCTTAAAACCGTACTTTGTGCGAGTTTGTGTAAAAATCTCTAACAAAATATCAATTTAGAAGAATGACGTCAGAGACAAAAATATTCTTCATCAAATATTGTTATAAGTCACCGAAGAAAAGAGATCTATATTTCCATTGTATATCAAAAAAAATATTTGCATCATTGTTCCTATACAAAATTCTGAAAATATTCCCTAATTTTTTGATGGGACTTTTTTCTAGTTGACGCCTGGAAGTAACATAAAATTTCGTTTAAGGCTAAAGGTGTCAAAGGAAGGAATATTCTACACAAAATTGCACTATGAATCTCAGAATTAATCGTATATCTAGGTACAATAGTTTCTATGAAAATTACATTCGCAATGTTCCCAAAAGAAATACGAAAATATTCCCTAATTTTTTTTTTTATCAATTTTTCCTCCGACTTTTTTCGAGTTCACGCCAGAAAGTAACATAAAATTTCATTTTAGGCTAAAGGTATCAGAAGAAAAAATCTTCTACATAAAATTCCACAATTAATCTCAAAATAAATCATATGTCTAAATACAATAGTTTTTATGGAAGTTACATTCAAAATTGATGTTCTAAAAGTGACAATTTTGTGTTTTCTTTTTTTTTAACGCGTAACAAATCCAAGTCAAAATCTTCCTTTACAGTTTATTTTTTGGGGAAAGTGTCCGAGTAAGAATTATTCTAGATCAAATTTCATTGTGAGTCTCTAAACAAAAGAAAACCATGAATCGTCTTACAAAGGAACAAATCATTGAATAATATTAGAACGTTCATTACACGCTCATTGCGTTGAGCGGCGAAGTTCATTTTTGGACCAATGGGTACAAATTGTCGATTTTGCAATGAATATCAGCCAGAAGTATTTCAAGAGCCTCGAATGCATCCAGAAAAGGTCAGTTTGGTGCGGTTTACATTGAACCATACACATTGAAAAGATGCAACTTAGCATAACTGCAAATGGTGAGCACTACCGGAAGATGATTTCCAATTTTTCCTTTTTTTTTAATCAAAATGCAAGGGGTTGACTGGCATGACATATGGATTCAACATGACAGTCCCACATAGTCTATAGACTTATTGAGAGGAGAGTTCGGTGAAAAGGTTTCAATTTCTATACCAGTCAATTGGCAGCCTAGAACGTGCGATTTAAGGCCAATTGTCTATTTCTATAGGGCAATGTTAAATTTAATGCCCACTTCAATTGAAGCCTTGGAAGAAACCTTTAAAGCATTTATCGAGAGATACCGGCCGAAATGTTCAAAAGAGTATGCCAAAATTGGACTCAGCGAATGGACCATTAGAAGCGCAGTCGCGACCACCACTTGCATGAAATAATCTTCAAATATTAATCGGACCATACCATATTTAGACCATACTTTCAGTTCAAATAAAGATTTCAAAAATTTTTGAATGTTATGAGTGTATTTGTTTTCTTTTTTGAAAAACCCCTATAGATCTTAAAAATCACCCTTATTTTAAAAACTCTACGTTGGAGGAATTTGTTCAAAAATCTATTAAATATTTTAAAGATATTCACATTGGTTTGAATTCTCAAATAATATTTAAAAAATCCACCAACAATTTTTTTTATGCACACTCTCGACGGGGTCAAATTTAAAAATTAAAAAAAAAAGAATTAAATATACCTAGAAGTAATCTTTTAAATATTTAAAACAAACATTAATTTGTTAAAAAAAAAATCCATCTTTGAATTGGATCCTCTGGGTTTCTTAATTTGTTAACGTTATCTCCTTTTAAAAATCTCTCCTTTTGTCATGGCTCATTTGGGAAATACAGATTTATTGGTCCGAATTGTTTTAATTGGTCCGATTTATTTTCAAATTCAACATTAAATACAATAATTTTCCCTACACATAAACAAAAAAAAGAACAAAAGCACTTTGCAATAAAAACCTAACTAAAGACTACTCCATGAATAACATGGAAGAACAGTGTTTACAAGAGCCCTAATCTTCACACAAAATTTGGAAAGCTAGAAGAAAATAGTTTTTTTTTTTTTTGAAAGGACTTTCAATTTCTCCAAGCTTAGGGCTTGAAAACTTTTTAACTTAATCTAATTTTTTTTTTGTGGCGAAATAAATAGTTGATTTCATTTCAGGTCAAGTCTTTTCAGTTGTTTGTGAATTTCTTAATTCTATTCCTAAACGGCATTCCGCATCTCTAAACTTCATTACCCCTAATACCCGTTTCGGTGCTACTACCATGTATTATCAAATCCATTTGTGACTGGGATAAATCACTGCACAGCAGTTGTTCAATGCGTATGAAACGATCATTGGGATCGGGAGTATTCGATTCGGAATCGGGCAAGCGTATCGATTGACTACCTTTGGCACGTTCTAAATGAAATGAAAATATGGAAAATATGATTAGCAAAATACAATTTAGCAGAAATTATTAAATCAAATGAAATGACATTGGCCATTTTTTAGCTCACCGGTTCTGGCTCTACGGGTCTCCTGTTCAATAATTATTTCATTGGTTATATAGGCCTCACGTCGTATTTGATCCCGCAATCCAACGCTCATGTCTGGTATGCACCAACGTACAATAATCATAACCAAGGCAACGAAATTCTGAAATGAATTAAAAGAAGAAGAAGAAGAAGGGTGAATTGTTGTTAAATTGAATTTTATAACAATGGAGTTATTGGGGTTAAGATATTTGTCAGCAGCAATAATTTCAATGTTATTTCATATTTCTTGAGATATTTGTCAGCATCGACAACCTACTTCACCTTTTCACAGAACATGAAACAGGAAGCCTTAGAAGTTCCCATTAAAGGGGAAGGTATGCCATGGAGCACACTATTATGTTTATTATACCCTCAGCCATATGGCTAGAGAGGGTATATATCATTTGATATGGTTAAAAGTTGTCTCATCGAAGTAGCAGTTTTAGGCCATAGGTCTCTTTGGACCAAATCCGTTTCAGGACATTTGGAGTCGATCTAGCCAAGTCCGTCCGACGTATCTGCCTGACTGGCAGATAACTCTCGAAGGGAATATCCGATTTGGTCCAAACTTGGTACATCGTAATTTTATTGTCAAACTTAGATCGAGTTCGGAGAAGGGCAATATCGATCCACTCCTTCTGGTACCTCCCCACAAAAGCTTGACATTTTCAAAATACAATACACAGAAAGATAAAGGTTAATAGATTTTGCTGCAACTTTGCAAATCCTAATCCTAATATTTGCATCAGTGCTAAGTCAGGTGTGAAAATAGACAATATCAATCTACTCCTTCTATACGAAGGCGTGGACACGCACGGCCATTTTTTGTCATAGGCTGTAGAATCCATTACGAACTTCAAATAGCAAATTTGAAAGATTTCCAATGAATATTGTCGCTAAAATCATAAAAATACCGAATATATTGAGGTACTATTATATGGGGCTATACGAAGACATAGACCTGCAAAGACAATTTTCTGTCTTAAGCTGTAATATCCATATCCGAACTTCAAATAGCATTTGAAACGATTCCAGTGAATAATGTAGCTAAAATGATAAAAATACCGAATTTAGGGAGATACCATTATATGGGTGCTATACGAAGACGTAGACCTGCAAAGACATTTTTCTGTCTTAGGTTGTAGTATCCATTTCGAACTCCAAATACCAAATTTGAAACAATTCCGGTGAATAATGTCGCTAAAATCATCAAAATACCGAATATATGGATGTACTATTATATAGGGGCTATACGAAGACGTATACCTGCAAAGACAATTTTCTGTCATAAGCTGTAATATCCATTACGAACTTCAAATAGCAAATTTGAAACGATTCCAGTGAATAATGTCGCTAAAATCATCAAAATACCGAATATCGGGAGTTGCCGTTATATGGGGGCTATACGAAGACATGGACCCGCACGGACAATTTTCTGTCATAGGTTGTAGTATCCATTACGAACTTAAAATACCAAGCTTGGAACAATTCCGGTGAATAATGTCGCTAAAATCATCAAAATGCCGAATATCGGGAGGTGTCGTTATATGGGGGCTATATGAAGACGTGGACCTGCGCAGACAATTTCCTGTCTTAGGCTGTAGTATCCATTACGAACTCGAAATACCAAATTTGAAACAAATCCAGTGAATAATACCGAATATAGGGAGGTGCCGTTATATGGGGGCTATACGAAGACGTAGACCTACAAAGACAATTTTCTATCATAGGCTGTAATACCTATAACGAACTTCGAATACCAAATTTGAAACAATTCCGGTGAATAATGTCGCTGAAATCACCAAAATACCGAAAATAGGGAGGTACCATTATATGGGGGCTATACCAAAACGTGTACCTACATGGCCCATTTTCAATGCCAAAAGTCCTGCAGACATAGTATACATTTGAGGAAAATTTTTTCAACCTACTTCATTTCGTTCGGAAGCTAGAGTGATTTCCACAGACGGACGGACATCGCTTAATCGACATAGAATTATATGCCGACATAGAATTTTTATGCTGAACTTCAGTGTCTGAGAAGAAATTTTTCTAAAGAAAAATCCCAACCTCAACTCGTGAAGAAAAATCTCATCCCCAGTTCCTAAGGAGAAATTTTTCTGAAGGTAAATCCATCCTAATTTCCGGAGAATTTTTTCTGAAGAAAAATCCATCCTTTATTTCCTGAGGATAAGTTATTTAACGCTTCCATGTCCTCAAGAGTCTCTATAAAGACTCACAGGTCCTTCCTTTAAAATTATCTTAATTGCCACAGTATCTAGGACGGAGTCCGGACTCGCCAAGGATCTGTAAAAAAATCTAAACCGCGAGACCCTCCATAAAAATGTCACTATAGCTCCGATTATAATTGAAAAATAATTTAAATCAGTAGCGTAGGTACTCCTTTAAAAATGCTTTGGCTGTTCTTGAAACGACTACTTTCACAGCATTGGAACTTTAAAGTTTGTCCTTAATTTAATATTGTCCTTAAAAATAGCTCTGATAGTCATTGAAAAACATCATTTAAATTCCACGGATATTTTGTGGGGTCTAAAATGTATATTTCGTATATTTCGGTGTTACAAACGGAGTGCGGTTGGTATAAAAATAATTTAAAAATAAAATATTTTTAAAAATTAAGAAATATATTTCCGAGTGTTCTTAAAAAATAGAAAATATATATTTTTAGGAATTAATAACGACTTGAAAATATATTATAAAAAATATTTTAAAAAATATATATAAAGTCCTATAAACCACTTAGAAATATTTTTTTTTTAAACAAACTAAAATCACAATAAATTACAGGTTTAAAAAATTAAAAAAAAAATAAAAATTATTGATAGCTCTCAGAAGCCATATGATCAAATCAATGTCATTCCATAAAAAAAAATCCTAATCTATATTCTCACAATATGCCACACAGATGTGCCACAATTCGATTCCATCTTGTCCATGTCTTCAGTTTTCATTTTTTTTATTCAATTTTTTTCCACAGACCTCAATCTTTAGCGGCCTCTGGAGGATTAAGGTCACATCGAAAGCCCAACAAAATGCGGTCAATTAAAGTGTGAAGACAAGCCATACGCTAATGGGCGATATGAGTAGCCAAGAAAAGTGAAATGTAAATCCAACTGAAGGCAACAAGTCGAACACTTTCATTCTCTCATTTTATGTCAGAGATCAATGAACCAAACATTGAATGTCCACCGGCCGGCCATCCGTTTAGTTGGCCCATCCAAGACTATAGCATAGAACAACAAAAGGTCTTATTGCAATTGCTGCAATGCTGCTGTTTTTAGATGTAACAACGGCAACAACAACATTCATACACACGAAGGTCTAAATATTTACGATACACTAAACGCCAGACCACCATTCCACACTTCAGCAGTGCCTGCCCAGAAAAGGGGGGAAAATGTCATTTGGCCAAAGTTTTAGAATAGCCCAGCGCAGCACAGCACAGACAAGAGCATACCAATCAATGAATATGATTTTAGTAGCTCTAAGAACGTCATCGGAAAAACATCCTCAACAGAAATACGACGGGCAGGAAAAAAATACAAAAAAAAAAATAATAACTTCCTTTCTTTTGTGAAATTCTCCAAAACAAAAACAGATTTCTTAATTGTGTTAATTTATTGACAAGTCATTACAAACAACGCCAAGAAAATGAAACGTTTTTCTTGTTGTTTTAGTCTTCGCACGATCGGTTTTAGTATAGCCTCCTTAGACATACTCGTCTCACTGACCATATTGGGCCTATGCAGTTATTATCTCTACACAGACTATTTCAATTTGACCAACTGGGGCATTTCCTCACACGATAATGTCCGAATTGTGGATCCGCTGAGTAATATGTTGTCATCTGTTGGTAAGAAGGAAACTGACTTGGGTCCTAAGGACTTCTTTATTTAGTTATTGTTTATTTTGCTTTTCAGTCAATTATGTCCTGCTGCATAATTTTCCGGATGCCTTCTATGTGGTTATGGCCATTGTTTTGTGGATAAAATCCTTGATTAACTTTATATTGGCGATTTTGTTAATCGATGGTATTAGAAAGGTAGGTGGATATTTATAAGGGGGTCTTCAAAACTAAACAAAATACCGAAAATCCAACAAATATACCAGAAATACTTCCCCACTTCCTGAGAAATCCTCCCTCACTCCTGTGGAAATTATTGGGGAGAAACTTTTCTAAGGAAAAATTCATCCTCAGTTACTGAGAAGAAATGTTTCTACGGAAAAATCCATCCTCAGTTCCTGAGGCGAAATTTTGCTACAGAAAAATTCTAACACCAGTTCCTAGGTCGAATTTTCGCTGACATTTTTCAAAAAAAAAATCTTTATTCCAAGCTCCTGAACAGAATTTTTTCTAAAGAAAAAACAAAAACCTCAGTTTCTGAGGAGAAATTTTTCTGAGGTTGGAAAGTAATTTTTCTGAAGAAAAATCCATTTTCGGTTCCTGAGAAGAAATTTTTCTGAAGAAAAATCCCAACCACAGTTCCTGAGGCTGACATTTTTCTATAGAATAATCCATCCTGAGGAGAAATTTTTCTAACGAAAAATCCATTCTCAGCTGCTGAGGAGAAATTTTGCTCAAAAAAAAATCTCAACCTCAGTTTCCAAGGAGAAATTTTTCTGAAGAAAAATCTATCCTCGTCTGCTGAGGAGCAATTTTTCCCAACCTCAGTTCCTCAGAAAAATCCTCAACATCTGAAGATGTGAAGAAAAATCCTTCCTCGGTTACTAAGGAGAAGTTTTATAACACTACCATGTTCTCAAGAGTCTCTATAAAGACTCTCAGGTCCATCAATGCTCCTTTAAAATCATCTGAACTGCCACAGTATCTATAAAGAAGTCCTGAAACACAAAATATCTATACAAAATTTTAATATTATATAATATATAAATATATAAACCACAGGTCCTCAGTTTCTGAGGAGAAATTTTTCTTAAGAGAAATCCATCCACAACTGCTGAGGATAATTTTTTCTGTAGAACGGGACTTTTTTCTGAAGATTCAATTCATCCTCAGTTCCTGGGGAGAAATGATTTAGAAAAATCCATCTTCAGTTCCTGAGAAGGAATGTTTTTGAAGAAAAATCCATCCTCAGTTCCTCAGGAGAAATTTTTCCGAACAAAAATCAATCCTCAGTTCCTGAGGAGAAATTTTTCTGAACAAAAATCCATCTTCAGTTCCTGAGGAGAAATTTTTCTAAAAAAAAAATCCATCCAATTGTGTAAAGAAAAGTACATCATCAGCTGCTGAATAGAAAATTGTCAACTGAAAAATTCATTCTCAGTTTCTGAGGAAAAAAATGACTATAGAAAAATGCATCCTCAGCCTCTGAGAAAAAAATTGTCTAAAGAAAAATCCATCCTCAGCTGCTGAGGAAAAAATTGTCCAAAGGAAAATCCATCCTCAGTTCCTGATGTCACATTGTTCTGAAGAAAAATCCATGCTCGGTTCCTAAAGAGAAGTTTTAACACTTCCATGTCCTTAAAAGTCTCTTTAAAGACTTACAGGTCCATCAATGCTCCCTGAAACTCATCTGAACTGCCACATTATCTATAAAGTAGTCCTGACTCGCTAAGGATCTATAAAAAAGGATTCTAAGCCGCCAGTTCCTCCATAAAAATTTATAATTGAAAAATACTTTAAGTGTTTAATTCCGTAGCATAGGTACTCCTTTCCTCTGGCAGTTCTTGAAAATACTACTTTTACGGCATTGTTACTTTAAAGTTTCCATGATAATAGCTGAGTTTGTCCTAAATTTAATATTCTCTTATAGTTCTTAAAATCAGCTGTGATAGTCCTTGAAGAATATTTTTCAAAATTATCGATAATAGCTCTGCAAGTCCTTGAAAAAACATTATTTAAAAGCTATTTTTAATATTTTAATATTTAATATTTTTTTAAGCCTGGAGGTCTTCTATGAGATATGGAAGACTTAGAGGTCTTCTATGCGATATGGAAGACCTAGAGGTCTTCTATGCGATTAGAAGGATCTACAGATCTTCTGTGAGAATATCTACAGATCTTCTATGAGGAGATCTAGAAATCTTCTGTGAGAAAATCTACAGACCTTCAATGAGCTGATCTACAGATCTTCTATGAGCTGATCTCCAGATCTTCTATGAGCTGATCTCCAGACCTTCTTCAATGAGAAGAGACCTTTTAGCCTCGACAATAGCTCTTGTAGATCTTTGTCAGCAATTCCACCATAATAGCTAAGAAAGTCTTTGAAAAAACATCCTCGATAATTACTCTGTTAATTCTTGAAAAGATATCCTTAAAAGTTTCACGGCAATATCACAGAAAGTCCTTGAAATATATTCTTCAAAAAATCTCCGATAATAACTCTGATAGTCCTTGAAAAATATTCTTTGAAATCCTCAATAATAGCTCTGGAAGCCTTTAAAAAAATATTGTTAACTGTACGGAAATTATTTATCAAACCTCAGATTTGTTAACATTTTAAGTCTCCCATTTAATTTTTTCTTTGCAGAAGCGTACCATTTGCATTGCACCCTGGCTCATAAATACCGTTATATCGATAGTGGTCGAAATCACCACTTACATATTAATGGAAATCAAATTCAATGAAGTTGATGCGGCCACAGATAAACGTATTGTGCGTAGCATAATATTTGGCATATTTATAAGTGAGTATTGGAAAAAAAAAATTAAATCCATTCCGAATTTCGTATAATACTTTTCTTTTCAGTGTTCAATGTCCTGTTTACGTTTGCCATTTATTGGCTGTGTAAATTCCTCAAAATTCAACAACAAGAGAATCAAGTTTTGCAAGAAAGTATTGTGGATGCCACTGGAATGTTTCAACATGTCAAAGTTTAAAATAGAAAATTGATAATAATTTTTTTGCAGAGAAATTTCGCATATAAATTCAAAACAACTGTTAAATTTAAGATTTAAATGTTAGTCCGCTGTAATAATTATTTTTTTCACATGGTCTACTTACCTCAAAAACAACAACAAAACACAAACGACAGGCTAATACTAAATAGAATATATTACTGAAATGATATCTTTTCTCTGAGGTAGGTGGTTCACGAAAATCTGCATATCTGTTTTTTCCAAAAATAAATAAATAAAAAGAAATGAGAAAAATAAATAAATTAATAAAAAATGTTATTATAAAAATTCTAAGTGGAAATAGAACAAGAATGTAAAAATTTGATTTCGTATATTAAATCTTTCCCTAACGCCATTTCAAAATCTTAACATACTTGTTTTGCTTCCACCTATAGTTACCATTAAACACTTCTACTTACAGACATGTCGTCAAATTATCATATTTGGCCGATAGACTTCGTGTCTGATTCGAGTCACTGGTATTAAATTTAGATAGCGAAAAGTCTAAGTAACCTTCTAAGGAACTATTTGGTGAATAGTGGCGATATACCCATTGCGGTATTAACTCTGATGTAAAGGCAATAATAAAGCCCTACAAAAAAAGAATTTAGAAAATTAAAATATGTAAACAAATTTCGAAATTTTTTCTTTAACTTACATTTGTTATAACACTTAATTTGCCAATACAATCCAATATGCGATACCACACACCAATATCACGTACTCTTTGCGAGACGGGACGGCGATGATGTGTCAGCAGTTTCTTGGCATCCAAGCGCATTTCCAAAATGTTATTCAAAAGGGCGAACAGCGGGGCCAATGGGAAGGCGGCCACAAATATTGTTACAAAGCCATATTGTAAAACTGAAATAAAAGAAAGACAAAAAGGAGATATATTTATTTGTGATCAAGGTAAGAGATTCTACAAAGGCATTCTGTATACGGTAACGTAAGGATCATATGTGGGTGACAGTCCTTCAAAAAAATATTGAAATAAGAAATTGTTATACAATCGGACTACAGCTTTGATCTTTATTATTGCTAAAAATTCGAAGGTTTCCGATCTAGTGATCCTGAAAAATGTTTAAGAATGCACGTTTATTCATCAAATCGTCCTAGAAAAAATATTTCTAAAAATTATATGTTCAGATGACCCCTGAAAAAATACTTGCAAAAATAAGTGTTTATTCATCAACTGGCACTTCAAAATATTCGTAAAAAATCAACGTTTTTGCGTTAACTTATTCCAAAAAAATGTAACGTTTTAAGTCAGTTTTTCTCTTGAAAATGTTATTATTGGAAATTCAAGTTATATAGCTCGGACAGGCCTTAAAAAGTTTTCCAAAATCTACGAAGGCTCCTGGACATCAATTTACGCCCGAAAACTCAATCTTTAACTCCTTATTAAAATTACCTGGTATCCATATTCTCTATATGGAATCCTATCCGTCAACTCATCAATAAAGGCTCCTTGAACCCCATTTATCCCACAAAGCCCCTCTAGTCCTTCAAATGATTTAAAAACAAGGGAGTATTCAATTTGAATATAAAATCTATAGCTCAGAGTTCGCCCATATAGACTTCCTGGTCTTCCAGTTGATCTAAAATTTGTCCGTGATCTATACGGTTGCCGATACCCTGACTATCTACTAAGACTCCTTTGAGATCGTCTCTGAATACTCTCTTTATCTGATGTCATTTGCATTCAGTCCAGGCCTTCACCTCGCCTACAGAGATAGGCCTTCAAATTGTCTATAGAGACAGGCGCACAACTCTTCTATAGAGACGGCCTTCTTTAGCTCGCCTGTAAGAAACGTCCTTCTTCCGCTCGTCTATAGAGACGTCCTTCTTCCGCTCGTCTATAGAGGCGTCCTTTAGATCTTCTATGAACAAGGCGTCCTCGTACTTGTCTATGAAATAGACGTCCTCGAGCTCGTCTATAATAGAAGTCCCCGAGCTCGCATATATAAAAAACGTCCTCCAGACGACAGACTCTATCCCCTCGTATATAAAGACTCTCTTCAGCCCGTCTATAAAAACTCGTTCTCGTTTCAACTTACCCATTTCTAAATATTCTGGAAACAGACTTCTAGTTCCCCAATCCAATAGTTTTAAATCACGAACCCATCTTTCGGTATCTTTGTGTTTGTCATGTTCTTTGGGGGTAAAGAGCTTTGAGAGTCCCACACGTATGGCACCAATTTTGCGCCAAATCATTGGCATTATAACTTCCAAAATGGAATTGAAAGCTTGTTTTCCTATCATAATGATCGCTAGTTGTATGCATAGTTCTGTGAGACAGCCACCAGAGGAGCACTGCAAAAAAGACAAAATGCAAAAAAATTATCAACTAAATAAATATAAAAATAGAATTATAAAAATATAAAACTAAGAGTTCACTGAAGGTGACAAAGAATTAGGCTTCCTATTTTATGTTAAGAAGATGCCGAATATTGTATGAAAAAAGAGCTGGGGTTCTGAAAATACGACCTTTTTTATCCTCTAAAAAACTCAGATTTTCTTTTGTGAAACTTTAATTTTTAGCATCCAAATAACAATTATCAACTTCATAGATCTCTTGTGCCCTACAAACCTCTTCTTGTCTAAAATCAAACAGTAGTGTATAGGCACCAGGACGTCCAACAAACTTCCCCTTATAGAAGGCTACATAAAATATGGAAGCATAGTAATTTACAAACTGCAACAGGTACATTTTCAGGGTTAAGGAATCATCAAACTGGGTTTGGGTGCGCCACATTTCCAATTCGGTGAGATACTCAGCTAGACGATTATAAACCTAGAAATAAAACGGAGAAGTAATTAAATCAAATTCTTTTTGGGGTAGAAATATCATTCGAGGAAAAATGTTAGTTAGGACCAAGGGGAACTCATCTACTCTCCCTTCTACTTACATAATTAAGTACATAGAGCATACATAAATTCAAAAACGCCGCCGATGAGGTAGCCAACACAATGGCACTTGATGTATTCATTGGATTCGTTTTGCGCAACATCAATGAAGCCATCGTTGCCATGCGATAAACAACTACCGCCAATACCGCAACCAATGTCAGTGCTACCAAAAGTAAAACCATGGAAAAACTAAAAACAGCTGCTGGCAATTTCATGCGCCAGAATGGCACTGTTGGTTCCCGCATGTTTGTAACATAATCGGTTCGAGTATGGGGTAAATGTTGTAATTTGGCTAAATACTGGGGACGCGGATGTTCCTCATGGACATCGAAACCCGTCAAATCCCAACGATGTGTTATTTCAGCAGAATAACGTTTCCACAGCTCCAAAAATAGCGTGGCCCAAAAGGACATAAATACGGCAAAGAATACCGTACTTGGATTATCGATTAAATAGGAGATTTTGGCATAAAAACAGGTTTCTTTCAGGTCCCAAAAATCACACCATTCACACAGCGGACACATAGTGATGTTCTTTTTGCCACCGCATATTTCTTTTCTGTAAAACAAAACTAATATTAATAACTAATTCCCACTCAGTATATCTTCCACTTCTTACACAGGTTCAAAATCTTTGAGCGTTGACCAGGAATAGATAAAACAAAACACCCCCACCACCGATGCCAGCAACAACATATATGTGTAAAATCCCAACCAGGCAAAATATAATCCAATTTTTACACCAAAATATTCTTTGATATAGTCCAGGGGTTGATAACGATACCATTTTCGTACGGAAGCCCAATGGGTGTAGAGGGTATGGCGCATTGTATTCTTTTCAGTAACTTCACCCTGAAAAGGAGATAAAAAACAAATCAAATATTATTTTGAAATTCTCAAAAATGTGTCCACAACTTACATCATGTAATGGATATCCAGCACAATAGATATTTGAGGCCACCATTCTCTCAATGCCAAAGGCCATTTCATCTTTACTCTTTGGCGTGAAACGCTGGCGATCCAATATGAACTGTACAATGCGTGAACGGACGGCGGGTGTAAAGAAATTATCCTGTCGTATATCGAATCTGAAAAATATTAGAAGTAAAGTAAAACTATGAGAAACAATGGATACTACGCATCAGAGAGTCTTCAGCGATGATCTGAATGGACGATGTATTTATTGGTGATCTGAAACGGCCCAGAGAGTCTACATACAGGTGAGTTAAATCTTAGCCGCAGAGTCTTCACAAAGAAAAGTAGATATCAGGATAACGAGACTACATTTGGACCAGTTAAAGGCAGGCTACGGGCCAAAATGCCTAGATGTATCAGCTGAAGCTAGGCCAGGGAGTCTAGGTACAGAAAAGCTGAAGACAGACAAAGGAGTCTTGACATAGAAAAAAATCAGAAAGTGTGAGCAGAGAAGTGTCAGATGGCCCGAGATGAAGCCGAGAGGCCAGGGTGTCTAGACATGACGGCGGCCAGGGCGGCCAGGGAGTCTAAATATAGACGAGCTGAAGCCGAGAGGGTAGGGAGTCTAAATATAGACAAGCTGAAGCCGAGAGGCCAGGGAGTCTAAATATAGACGAGCTGAAGCCGAGAGGCCAGGGAGTCTAAATATAGACAAGCTGAAGCCGAGAGGCCAGCGAGTCTAAATATAGACGAGCTGAAACCGAGAGGCCAGGGAGTCTAAATAAAGACGAGCTAAAGCCGAGAGGCCAGGGAGTCTAAATATAGACGAGCTGAAGCCGAGAGGCCAGGGAGTCTAAATATAGACAAGCTGAAGCCGAGAGGCCAGGGAGTCTAAATATAGACGAGCTGAAGCCGAGAGGCCAGGGAGTCTAAATATAGACAAGATGAAGCCGAGAGGCCAGGGAGTCTAAATATAGACGAGCTGAAGCCGAGAGGCCAGGAAGTCTAAATATAGACGAGCTGAAGCCGAGAGGCCAGGAAGTCTAAATATAGACGAGCTGAAGCCGAGAGGCCAGGGAGTCTAAATTTAGACGAGCTGAAACCGAGAGGCCAGGGAGTCTAAATAAAGACGAGCTAAAGCCGAGAGGCCAGGGAGTCTAAATAAAGACGAGCTGAAGTCGAGAGGCCAGGGAGTCTAAATAAACACGAGTTGAAGTCGAGAGGCCAGGGAGTCTAGACATAGACGATCTGAAACCATGCTGGGATATTAGATATAGACGATCTGAAGCCGTTCTAGAGTCTATTTGGACTTTCCGAAGAAAATCTTCTTATTGAAGTCCGCTTGATCTTCTCATAGAAGGCTAGTTGATCTTCTTATTGATGGTCTATCGGTCTTCTCATAGAAGACCAGTAGATCTTCTTTTTGAAGACCCGAACATCTTATCTTAAAAGCCCAGATGCTTTTCTCGTAGAATACAAAAAGGTCTTTTTCAAAAGAACAGTTAATCTTCTTCTAGAGGTCAGTTGGTCCTCTCATTGAAGACCAGTTTGTTTTTTTCTTAGAAGACCAGTTCATCTTCCCTAAGAACACCAGTTCGTCTTCTCATAGAATACCAGTTATTCTTCTCATAGAAGGTCCATTGGTCTTCCCATAGAAGGGCAGTTAGTCTTTTCTTAGAAGGTCAGTTTAGAAAATCAGTAGGTCTTCTCATAGAAGATTAGTAAATCTTCTCATAGAAGACCTGTTAGTATTTTCATAGAAGACCAATTCCTCTTCTAAAAGAAGACCAGTTGGTCTTCTCATAGAAGGCCAGTTGGTCTTCTCATAGAAGGCCAGTTGGTCTTCTCATAGAAGGCCAGTTGGTCTTCTCATAGAAGACCAGTTGGTCTTCTCATAGAAGACCAGTTAGTCTTCTCATAGAAGGCCAGTTGGTCTTCTCATAGAAGGCCAGTTGGTCTTCTCACAGAAGGCCAGTTGGTCTTCTCATAGAAGGCCAGTTGGTCTTCTCATAGAAGGCCAGTTGGTCTTCTCATAGAAGACCAGTTGGTCTTCTCATAGAAGACCAGTTGGTCTTCTCATAGAAGGCCAGTTGGTCTTCTCATAGAAGGCCAGTTGGTCTTCTCATGGAAGGCCAGTTGGTCTTCTCATAGAAGACCAGTTAGCGTTTTCATAGAAGGCCAGTTAGCCTTTTCATAGAATACCAGTTGGTCTTCTCTTAAAAGACCAATTGGTCTTCTCTTAAAAGACCAATTGGTCTTAACATAGACAACCAGTAGGTCTTCTTTGAAAAAACCAGTTGGTCTGATTTGAAGACTACATAATCTTCTCTTAAATGCCACATAGTCTTCTCTTAGAAGACCAGTTTGGTCTTCTCATAGAATGTCGTTTCGAATTCTCATAGAAAGCCTTTTAACCGCAACCCAGAAAGCCAGCTGGTCTTCTCATTAAAAGTTACTAGGTCTTCAGTAGGTCTTCTTAAAATGGGGCCAGTTTTTGAGCCTATAGGATTTCTAATAGAGTTTAGTCCCATAGACGGTCAGCAATTCTTTTCATAGATCTCCTGCAGAGTTTATCTTCTCTTCTCTATAAAAAGGTTTGTATTAAAAAAAATCTCTCACAAATATAATACTCACAGATATTCTTTATCCCGACTGTAGATGGCAGTAAAACGTTGTGCGCGTCGAGGAAAATTCCGTTCGTCGACATAGATATGCCTCATGAAGAACTTGATTAAACCTTTTAGACTAGAAAATACACTGCTAGTTGAGCGATTCACCACCGACATACCAGGAATCTAAATGGAAAATTAAATGGAGTTAGTAAAAGCGAAGAAGAAATTGTTGCAGTCGGGGAGTCAGACACCGCAAGTCCCTGTCATGATTGTGTGTGACAGGACGAAAGAGAGAGAGAGTGGATTTTTCTCATTCAATTTTCTCTCTCTGACTTGTCTGCCTCCGACTGAAAAGCATGAAATTGTCAACCAGAACTAACATGCCCAAGAACTAATTCAAACAAAATAAATAAACAAATACGTTTTTGAGTTCAGGTCAGGAGTGGAATACATCGACTCGCTGTTGTTAGAGTCAGTATCATCAGTAGGGTTTGCTTTCATTATTATTCCCATATCGATGATAATGATTCACAGGGAAGCGATATACTCTACTTAATATTTATTTTCAACTCGAATGCAATTTGTAATTCAAAATTGCATCACAGAATTTTGGAGAGATGAAAACAGTGATTTGAACCAAAGCTCTCAACAAAAGAACATAATTGAAGCTATTGCATATGAAAACAAAGTTATGAACGCGATGGGGACCAAACATGTTTTTTTGTTAATATAATTTTGAAACTATTCCGCCTGATTCGAATGAAACACAAATGATTTGCAGGTGAGCGAAGAATACAAAAAGAAACAATTCAAAGAGGACAATGTACACCGTGGAGATCTGATGCAAATGGAAAAACATTTCAAACCTTTTTTGAAATGTATTGGGCTGCGTAACGCAGCCGACTGTATTTCGATAATAATTTCACGTTGCATGTTAACTATAAATAAAATAAAGAAATAATCATAATAATAAATAATTATAAAATAAAAAAATGCTCGGATAGGAGATGGAAGGAGATAGAGATCGAATAAAAATAAAAATATTAAAAATTAAAATAAAACACTAAAAGAGAAACAGAACGACACAAGGGGATATAACAGATATAGTTACTAAACTGTTATACAAAGTTCGTTTCCTGTTAAATAATAAAGTTCAAAGTTAAATTTGGGAAGAGGATATATCAATGCATAAGAAGAATGATGTACAGAATGAGATGAAAAAAACTGCAACCAACTTCAGACTGCTGTCATTGCTAAGCCACTCGTCCGACAGCTGTTAAAATTATTTCAGTGACAGCTCATTATATTGTTTACAAGCGTACAAAAGCATTTTGGTGAAAATTTTCCAGAAAAAAAGTTATTCGTGATGAAACTCAAGCGTGATATCTTTATGTTTGGCTGGAAACCACATGTGGCTATCCCTAGAGCACTCCAGCATTTAAATGTGAATAAATCTTTTGTGTCTCGTAACATCACTCGTTACCGTGAGACTGGTAGCGTAGCCCGACGTCAAGGAAGTGGACGGAAGAAAACAGCAACATCAGCAGAAATGGTTCGAAAAGTAAACAAGCGACTTGATCGAAACCCGCGTCGCAGTGGCCGAAAAATGGCTCGTGAGCTGAACATATCGCAATAATCCATTCGGCAAATATTGAAAAATGAGCTCGGGGTAAAGCCATTAAACTTACAACGCAACAGAAAGAAAATAGACTGAAACGAGCTAAGCAATGAGCGAAGCAAATCTCGCTTAGCCGAAAGTGGTGAACTTCAGAATTTGCTTTTCTCCGATGAGAAAACACTCGTTGTCCAGCAATTTGTAAACAAACAAAATGATCGTGTTTACTTGCCAAAGAGGTCGGCTGAAAATTGGTACCTTCGGTTGGCCACCAGAACTCAAGCGCCGGCCATGGTCCGCCATAACAGCCGATGGTCGCTATCCGCTCGTATTAGCCGTGGCATCAGAATATTATCGCGAAAATATTCTGGAGGGTGTATTAAAGCCTTGGGCACCCAAATATTTTGGCCGCAGACCTTGGGCATTCCAACAGGGCTCAGCACCATCGCACTCAGCACGCGCCACCCAAGAATGGGTACAAAATTAGGTTCCTCGCTTCATTTCCAGCGAACAATGGCCACCAAAATCTCCGGATACCAATCCGTTGGACTATTGTCTCTGGAGTATTTTGGAAAGCAAGGTTGGCACTAAAAAATACCAAAAAGTCGATCACCTCAAGCAAGCGCTTCGCCGGGAATGGGCCAAAATACCGCAGAACAGCATTCGGGCAGCGTGTGGCGATTTCGTTGGCGTTTGAAGGCCAAAAGGTGACCAATTCGAACAAATCCATACATATTCCAAAGTTTGATACTATTTTCGAATATTTTTCTTTCATTCAATAAAATTTAAAAAAAAAATGTAAAAGTTATGGCTTTTGACTTTGTTGCAGTTTTTTATCTCTCCCCGTAGATCTCCTTTTTACGGGAAAGACGTACAAAGTCCATTCTATGTAGAGGAACTACAGAAAATGAATCCAAAACTTATATCCAGATGTCTTAAATTGCATATTTCATATTTCATTTTTCAACACATTGATTTATCCTCTTTAAAACCATTAATTTCGTTATTTCTTCAGGAGAGTATGGAAATTCAGGAAACACAGATTTCGAAAGAAAAAAGCAAACAATTTTGACACATATATTAATATTTGACACACAAACCCAGACGCTTTCTTTTGCAATTTCACACTCCAGTTCGCTTACCTCTTTCATGGGCATGCGTAACTTAAGAATTTCCGCATAACGACGTAACACCTCCAATGGGGCATGGACCTGGAAACAAAAACCATACAAATTTATATATTTCTTTTCCAGCTATAAATACAATTTCCACCTACCTTAACAAAATAGATCTGTTCCTTCTCCTTACAGGCCCTTTCAATTTCCAGACCCTCGGACAGGAGATTCATTTCGAATATGTGCCGTTTCTCTTCATGTTGATCCTCCACATTTGGCTGTGGATTAATTTTATAGACCAGTACAAAATCAATCGAACGCACACCATCGTCGAAAAATAACGATGGATTCTTTTCACATTTCATGTAGAAATCATTTGGAGGATTTATATCGTCATCGGTTGGTTCTTGAAATGGAGCTAAGGGAGTCATTGGCAACTCTTCAGTGGCAGGAGATTTGCGAGGATACTGATGATGGCGATGATGATTGTTGCTGAGGTAGTTTTGATGATTTGTATGATTGTTGTTGTTGCTGTTGTTGCTGGTAGCACTAACAATACGGCCAGATTGTCGAGATTCTTCGTCTTGTAGCAACAGTGTCGATGTTGTGCTGTCTCGGTGAAAACTGAAATAGAATCGAAAACAAATTGTTTTAGTTTAAACAAAAATTGCTACAAAAATGGTAAATAGATGGTGTGCTAATTCATTAGCGGAATTGTGTGAAATTTCAGAATGTAAACTGTTGCAATCTTTTGTGAAAAATTTAAATGTTTGATGATCAGTGGTATTAAATTTATGGAGAATTGTGTACATTTATAAGACAATTGGTTCCTTAGAGTATATTTTTGGGGAAATCACATTCGACCAAGACCTTTAAAATTCCCCAAAAATGAAGCTGTCATCTGTGGGAAAAGATTTTCTGCGAATTATGAACAAAAAAATCAAAATGCTACCAACTCCCTTAAGAGAGACTGTTAAGTGGCTCCTATGCCAAAACGTGACTATTAGTCAAACTATTTTAACGAGAACGGTTTTTATACCCTGCACCCTACTATGGAGGGTATATTAATTTTGTCATTCCGCTTGTAACTCTTCGAAATACTCATGTCAGACCCAACAAAGTATATATACTCTTGATCAGCGTAAAATTCTAGTACGATTTAGCCATGTCCGTCTGTCAGTCTGTCTGTTGTAATCACGCTATCTTTCTAAGGAATTGAGATAGAAGGCTAAAATTTTGCACACGTGTATATTTTTCCAGTAGGCAGGTTAAGTTCGCAAATGGGCCATTTAGGTTTAGCTCCCATATATAAGTACCTCCCGATATTCGGTATTTTGCTGATTTTAGCGACATTATTCATCGGCATTGTTTCAACTTTGGTATTTGAAGTTCGAAATGGATACTACAGCATATGACAGAAAATTATCTGTGCAGGTCCACGCCTTCGTATAGCCCCCATACAACGGTACCTCCCGATATTTGGCATTTTCATGATTTTAGCGACATTATTCATCGGAATTGTTTCAAATTTGGTATCTGAAGTTCGAAATGGATACTGCAGCCTACGACAGAAAATTGCAGGTCCACGTCTTCGTATAGCCCCCATATAACGGCACCGTCCGATATTCGGTATTTTGATGATTTTAGCGACATTATTTACCGGAATTTTTTCAAATTTGGTATTTGAGATTCGTAATGGATACTACCGCCTATGACAGAAAATTGTCTGTGCAGGTCCACGTCTTCGTATAGCCCCCATAAAACGGTACCTCCCAAAATTCGGTATTTTCATGATTCTAGCGTCATTATTTAACGGAATTGTTTCAAATTACGTATTCAGAGTTCGTAATGGAAACTACAGTCTGTGACAGAAAATTGTATATGCAGGTACAGGTCTTCGTATAGGTCCCATATATTAGTACCTCCCTATATTCGGTAGGTATAATACCCACCGAAATTTTTTGAGATGTCGTATTTGTCGTTCGTAATGGATGCTATAGCCTGTGACAGAAAATTGTCCATGCTGGTCTAGGTCTTCGCACAGCTCCGATATAACGGTACCTTCTATATACGATATTTTGATGATTTTAGCTACATTATTCACCGTTTATTTCAAGTTTCGAATTTGAATATGGTAATGGCTTATGACAAACAAGGCCTATGTAGGTCCACGTCGTATAGACCCCAATATAACGGCTATATTCGGTATTTTTAAAATTTTAACAGAATTTTTTAAGGACTTTACTTTTTGAAAATTTCAAAATTTCTTGAAGGGAGTATCCCATTTGGTACAAACTTGGTACATCGTAATATTTTTGTCAAACACAGAAAGAGAAACCATAATCCGATTTTGGTCCAACTTTTCAAATCCTAGTACTTGCACCAGTGCTACGTCAGGCGCTAAAATGGACAATATCGGTCTACTCCATCAAGTACCTCCCCCACAAAGGGTCAATAATTTTGAATAATTACAACATTTGTAAAATATGATGTAAGAGTCCGATTGTCTTCACAAATTTCACACATTCCAATATTTTTATCAACCCAAGGTCTGCTGATAAGATGGAATATATCGGTCCGCTCCTTCTGGTACCTCCCCTACAAAAGGTCTAAATTTTCAAAAAATATTTTTTGCACAGAAAGAGAAACGATAATCCGATTTTGGTCAGGTGCAAGATTGAACAATATCGGTCCATTCTACCAAGTAACTCCCCCAGAAAGGGTCAAAATTTTGAATAAATACAACTCTCATAAAATGTGATGTAACAGCCCGATTATCCTCAAATTTAACACATCCTAATAATTTTATTAACCCAAGGTCTGGTGTTAATATAGAACACATCGGTCCATTCCTTTTGGTACCTCCCCCACAAAATGTCGGATTTTCAATAACAAAAAAATATATTTTCTGCACAGAAAGAGTAGCAATAATCCGATTTTGCTTCAACTTTGCAAATTCTAATATTTGCGTTAGTTCTAGGTCAGTTTTAAAAATGGATAATATAGTCCACTCTATTAAGTGCCTCTCCAAGAAAGGGTCAACATTTTGAATAATTACAACTCTTATAAAATGTGATGTAAGAATCCGATTGTCTTAAATTTGCACACATTCCAATATTTTTATAAACCCAAGATCTGTTGTTAAGATTGTTGTTATCGGTCCACTCCTTCTAGTACCTCCCCCACAAAAGGTCGAAATGTTGAATATCCATTAAGCTCATAAAACTCAAAAACATTTCATTTCATTTAAACATTCAGACTTGGCACATCCTACTATTTCTATCAACACAGGATAAGTTATAAAAACGATAGAGATCGGACCATTCCTTCTAATACCTGCACCACAATGGGTCAAAGTTTTGAAAAAATCAAACGTTTATAACAGCCGAAATAATTATCGGGTTCTCTTTATATTTCATACACTCCATTATTTCTACTAACAAAAGATCTGTCGAATCGGTCCACTCCTTCTGGTACCTCCCCCACAAAGGCTCAAAATTATGAATATCCATGAAGCCCATTAAAAGCGAAATTAACATTCGATTACATTCAAAACTTGGTACATCTCAATACGTCCATCAACACAAGATCTGCCCCACATAGGGTTCAAGATTTTTTCAAATTTCACCCATACAAACATTTTTGGTAACACAATATCTGTTGTGCCGATGGTATATATCTATGAACCTCTTCGGTACCTCACTCACAAAAGGTCACAATTTCTAATACTTTTATCTGTCATAACTTGCGAAACAAGTCAGCAATTCTTTACAACTTGCTATATATAAATATATCTCTATTTGCCAGAAACCTGAGATGAATATGGAATTTATGATTTTCCATAAATTGGATATAAATGTTCGATTTCCTTGTAATATTGCCCATACCAATATATTTATATGAATTAGATGAATCATGAAAATGAAATACTTCGTTCGACTATACCTGGTACCTCATGCAAATGTTAACATTTTCTAAAAATTATCATATATGTCATGTAAAGTGAAGGAAGCTACCAATATAGTCCAAATCTGACACGTCGCAATATTTATATCATATTTATTTAGGTCTGATACGAAATGCCCAATGTTAGACCATTCCTTCGGAACCTACTCCATAAGTGGTTAAACATTTGAATAATCATAACAGAAGTCAAAATATTTTTAAATAATCGTACATTGGCTAAGGGTATGCATCTGTTGGCAAAACCGACTGATGCTTTTTAAATTGTTATACCCTACAACACTATGTGTTGGGGGTATTATACGTTTGATTGGGCCAAAAATTATGTAACACCTCGAAATATTGATTTCCCACATAGGAAAGTATATATGGATCTTCCTAGCTCGCCGAGCTGAGTCGATCTAGCTATGTATGTCCGTCCGTCCGTCTGTCCATGTTAATTTGTAATCACGCTACAGGTCGCAATTATGGCCCGATCCTTACGAAATTTTGCACGAAGTTGGGGTTAGGGTCAGAATAGAAGCCTATTTCTTTTGGAGATGATCGCCAAATGTTTAGGGGTTAAAATGGATCAAATACTGAAAAAATGTCGGATTTTGCAGTAGCTATACAATTAAAGACCAATCGACGCGGAATTTCGCATGTAGCTAGAGTTTAGGGCGGGGAAGAAGCCTACCAATTTGGGTGGTCATCGGATAATATTTAGCGGGTAAAATAGACCATATCTTTTGTGTTGAAAAAATTCAAAATTTTTCATTAAACCGCGAATATTTTAAATCCAGGCGAAATCACAAAGCCATGACTAGGTTACTTCTGATCTTTTCATTGATGTTAACGTCCAAGAAATCAGATATATAGCAAAATATGTGCGATATATATGTTTATCAAAGAAGATATGCTTGAAAAATCTCTTATATGTCGAGAACGGCTGAACTGATTTCGATAGTTCTCATTTATTGAGAATGGCATCTTGGCAGGAAAAAAAAACGTCTAAAAAATCGCATAAAAATATCTCTCTAAAGGTGAAAATATTGATTTTGTAAATTTTTCTCATATTTTTTCAATTTTGTCATATTTTTGGCATATTATCATTTTTTTTTTGAATTAAACATTTGGTAATATTTCTACAGCTAACAAAACTAAGTAGTTAGGATATCAGGATTTCATATACATATCGCATTTATGGCCCGATCCATGGGTATACGATGAGGGTCAGAATAGAAGCCTACTCTTTTTGGAGATGATCGCAATATATTTAGGGGTTGAAATCTACCAATAAATTGGAAATGAGAAAATTAGTTTAAGTTGCTATTATTCGAAAATTAGAGAACGGAACCTGATGGTTTTCTTTTATTATTTGCCGCAATATCTTGTGGAGTTCTTTCGAGTATCTCGCCTATATAAACTGTATGGTTTATTATAGTGTTGTAGGGTATTCAACGGTCGGCCCCGCTCGACTGTAGCCTTTGCTTTCTTGTTTTTATTTAATTCTGTCACAACTTTCTAATATATATAGCCTCCTCTGCGTTCTTTTCCTGCATTTGTTTTAATATTTTCACATATTTTATCTTTATGTTCCATATTGTTGGCAATATCAAACGATAATCTTTAAGGACATCTAGTCCCATTAAAATTCCCATTTTGTGACATCACAACCCTCA